GCTCACTGTCAGTCAATGTCTGGCGGGCATTCGCAGCAGGGCAAGATGCAAGAAGTGTTCTACACAATCATCTTGCTTCCACACAAGCACTTGGGTAGACCAACTTATGGGACACCGAAAAGGCATGCAAGTTTTTTTCATGAACCCTTGCAAAGCCTATGTGAGGAGTTCCGAGGTTCTCAGAACCTTCTTAGCAGCGGGTCTGAGTGAAGAGTTCGGCAAACCATGCAACGAACAAGGCGCAGGCGCTCGGCGCTCGCGGCATGCTACGATCCCTCTCCGTGCCTGGCCGGTGATAATGGAGCCCTCGCCATGCCACTCCTGATGGTGCCACATGGTCGTTTTGCAGCGTCTAGCTTCTGACCCTCTCAGCTGTTCAAAGCGCGCAAAGCTTCAATCCTAGCATGTTCCGGGATGCTGTTCAAAGCATGCGATGGGCACAAACATTTTCTTATAGTGGATGCAGTTTAACCAGCGCTCAGTATGGGCCTATGGATGCACGTAAGGCAGCAAGCAGTGCAAATCAAAACTGGCCGAGCGCGAAAGGGCAATGTTGTTTTCTTCTGAGGGAACTCTAGTGGCCACCGCCCAAACAGGAAAGCGCCCAGGGCAATGTTGTTTTCTTCTGCCCCAAATGGTGTCTGCCTCTGCATGTTTGGGGCGGCCGGTGCCCCCCGTGCCAACATGCTAATGCGCTGGGCCTAAGCATCTGAAAGTTCCGGAGCTGCACTGTCAGTGAGGGGATGTGCTCAAACAGTACGTGTGGAAGAATATGATCTGAAGATGAGGCACTGGCTAGAAAACTAAACATATGGGATTCGCAAATCAGCCAGGTTTACTCCCTGTGTTTCATTCCGTCCAAAAAAGGGGGCAGCAACTCGTGTTGTAAGAGGATGTGTCTGCAGTTCAGAAAGAAACAAAACAGGATATCGACAAAAACAAATAACGTTAGGAAAACAACTAGTCTTTCAGACACAAGGTAAAGAAACCCGATATATCCCCAGCCCTGCGTTTTGCGAGAATTGAACGTGCAGGGATCAGCGTTGTTCACTCTGTGTACTCCTGGGAATTCATGTCTTCTACTTTGCGATCTTACCTGAACCACGCTCCCTTGCAAGGCCTAAATTTCAAAAGGAAAAACTAACAAACCGAGAAACTCCCGAACATCGTGGAGCATGCTATCTGTTTGTTTGTTGGTTTTTCTCGAGGGTTCGTCATTTTTGAAATTTAGCCATTCTCCAAGTAGATCTATCCCATGCAAAAGCTTTCTCATGGCATCGGATGCTGCTAAGAAATTGCCGTTGTGTTTCTTATATGCGCATATATTCGCACAGTTTCTAGCGCGGTTGCTCTACCTTTTTGCATTGTTGCAGGCATTAAGCCATGTTGTATACGGAAAGCGAGCTGGAAATACAACCCAGACAATTTCTTCGTTGAGACTGTAGTTTAAACATGCGGGGGGGGGGGGGAAACAGGGCGGGAATATGGAAAGTCTATGTATTTGTATCATAGGCTGGCGTGCAGCAAATGATTGCACCTGTCAACTTGGCGTGTAAATAACATGTGCTCATGCATAATTTACCGTCCCCGCGCCTCTCAAAAGGGGGGGGGGTGGTTGAGTCCTCGATTTCAATTCCTAAGTGCTTGGAAGAAGCAAGCACATTGCCGGGCGTCCCACCTGGCCCAATTTCTCTGGAACAAACTCAAACTTGCGCTTGTCTCTGAATGGGGGACCGAACAGGATGATACAAAATGGGTGATTTCTTTTGACTTCCCTCGAAAGCAACCCTCAAACACGGTACTGAGCCACAAAACAAGCCGCACACCAGGGTTTGGAGCAGTGCTTCTGTAAGTGGTTGGTGCTCATGTCCCCTTTTGCCTCAAAGAGAACGTGTATTGGTATTGAACATGCGATCCTTTCAAGCTCAAACATCAAGGGACACATCGTCACCCTGGAAAAAACCCAGCACTGCTTCATGGCCTCACACCAGAAGCTCTGGTACCATTGGCCACCCCCTTTTGGACGAGTTAATTCAAATTTGGGCGAGGTGTAGGGAGCACCGAGCAAAGGTCGATTCCTTTACCTCCAGTCGTGACGGTGACAGGGTCTCCTGAGTCTTCCCAAAGTCGCAGACGCGGATGTTGAAGTGGGCGTCAAGGACCTGGCAACCCCGGAAGGAACTACTTCCTCGAAGCGGCAAGAAGTAACGCCTGCTGTTGGTTGAAGGCACGTACACCCTTGCAGATTAACATGGAACCCAACTAGGGCCGCTGGCGGGTGATCACGGAAGAAATGGCATCCGTTCGCCACTCTTCATCTCCCAGTCCTTCTGTCGTTCGCTTCTCTCGGTCAGATGCCTCGTTCGTTAACTCTGAGACAAGGAAAGGCAAGAACTAGAGAGGCATGCCAGAGTCTGCAAGAGTGAGAGAGATGGGGCCCTCCATGGTCCCATTCATCTACTTCCAAGCCTATCAGTGGATAGGCGAGAGAGGGAAGTGGGATGCAGGTCCTGTCGTTACTTCCAAAATTCCGCCAAACATAGATGTTTTTTGGGTGCAGGGGAGTTGCGCTTTTGGTTGTGCACGAGAACATGTCCAAACAACAAGTGTCTGGCTGGAACCCTAGCTTTGAACTGGTTGAAGTGAAATGGGTGTGTTTGTCTTCTTGAAATGGTTCCCGTCCCCGAAGTAGACGCCATCCAAACAGATGTTCCCCATAAACCGGGGAAGTGGCAAACTGATCTTGAAAGCCAGTACAAGTCGCCATAGTCCCCACAAGAGCTCCAAAACCAGTGGGCTTTGGTTGAAGAAAAACTCCTTTGGTTGATGCACGGAACAACCCAAAACCAGGAGAAACAAGGGCTGGACCTCAATGGCCCGAAGCACGAAGGTGCATGCGTCCCTTGCAGCCTTTTTGGCACCAGTAACAAAGGATATTACTTGGCCCCTGTGGGGTGTGCATGTGTGTTCAAACATCATGCCTTTTGAGAACAAAAGGAAACAATCCTCTCAAAGGGGGTTTCTGTGGGGGAGAACTGTTTGTCCAAAGAACGGGGGCTGAAACTCAACGCCGACTCCTTCCTCGAAAGCCTTCGCCCCGCCCCCTCGCCCTACAGCTTTCCCTCCCCGCCCCCTTTTCTATAAGATCAATCGTGCCCTACATGACTTGTTGGCCCATTTGTCCAGGAAACGGCCTGGTACAAGTTCTGATGTCACGCTCAAGTGGCCCCTCCAAGCGCTAGGGATCTCCAAAGGCTTTGGGGGAATCTGAGCGTGTTCCAAGTTGATGGAGATTATTCAGCTCGGATGTACAGAGTCAACCAAACAACAACATGGATCAAGCCAAAACCAGAGGGCTCAAGCCCGTCCAATCCTTGGATTTTGCAACTGCGCGACGCGCCTCCCACCCCGGTGAAACTCTGTTAGCCAGCAGTAAGGTGGCACGCCAAACCAGTTCTCAGTAGTGAGTATGACCAACACATTCCCAGAACAATTGCCTTTTCTGCGATCTGAAACAAGATGTTCACCCAGGTGGAACATCGAACCCCTTGGTAAAAAAAGAGCTGGCAAGCAATCGCCACTTACCCCACCCCTAGCACATGGCTTTCCAAACGCTATTCAAGGGCAACTTGCTTGCAACTCACACGTTTCTTTTCATTCTGGCCGGATGTGTGTGCAGCGCTCCTCCAGCAAAAAGGGGTTACCATCCAGCCCACTATGCGGGACGGCTACAGGCGCTGTCCTGACTGTGAAGGCATGAATGGTAGAAATCACTACTGGGCCTTTCTTGGCGCGCGATGTGTCATGCGAGTGGCACGGATGGGGTGGATCCTTATGTTCTTCGTTTGCAAAGTGAAGATGTGGTCGAAGGAGACATTGCAAGCAGTGCACTCAAGCACACGCCGTTGCTCAGCGACCGCGTGCTGGAACGATGCATCAGCTGCCCACCTTTTTCAGGGGCTGGAGCAGATGGGAGCAAGTCGATGCGCGGCTGTCGTTTTCACAGGCTGGGTCAATTCCATACTTAGGTCACGCGCACAGTGCATGGGCGAACACCCTTTCTATTCTTGCAGCCGCGGCTGATCATGCATGGTACGTTCAGAGCTGCCGTGACCTCGGCCAATGGCTACATTTTTTCCAGAATGGTGGCTTCATACTGCAGCCTTTTTTTTTGCCTGGCCGCGTTTCTGCTCAAGATGGGCCTTAGCGCTGTGCTGCTTGATGATTGGGCGCATTGTTCTCGTGACCATGGGTGGTCAGGCCTTTGTGGTGCTCTATGGTGGTTGCCTAGTTCAGAGCTGCGTGGCAAGGTTGTGGGAGCACATTAGCCCCAATAGATGCGATGCGTATGACTGCGATGGGCCCGATAGAGGTGCGCTTCCTGATGCGCGTGGCGTGTATATGTGGACGTCGACAAGTGCGTCGGAGTTGTCCATCTTGTGTCATAGCTCTATGCTGTGTGGCACGCAAAGACATCCCCGCGTAAGGAACCTTCATCGAGGGTGAGGTGATCATTTGCCGAGTCTCCACGAACCAGCTACTGAGAGGTGCGCAAGTGCTCCCCCTTGTTCCGACTCGGACTACGAGGCAACAAGTTGGTGTGAAAACAAACAACAGGAGAAAAAAACGAGTAGCTTCCTGTAGCACATTGTGTCTGTTCTTGTTGTTGTCTTTGTTTAACACGGGGCAACTCCCCAAGCTGTATGGAACACTGGTCTGCAGGCCTCCGCCCTTCTTTGGGGCTTCAGGCTCAAACGAACCGTCTTATCCCAAAACCCCGGGACGTTTGCTTCGACCGATATGATGCAAACTGACAAAAACAATCAGATACTTTCGATCTGCCTCCCTGAGCAGTACCTTCTTCCTCCCAGCAAACATAAACACAGCACCTGCGAGTGGATGCCTCCAATGTCAATTTCCTCTTCCCTGACAAGTGCCTCTTTGCAACGTGACAACCGGAAACGGCTCGGGGTTCTGGCTGCTTAGCCGAATCGCTTCGGCTAGTCCGAGGTTGGCGTCACGCTCAGCTCCTGCAGCGCGCTTTCTGGCACCCAAAGCCGGCCATCGTTGCCCAGGCTGGCCCCATCCTCCGCATGCGCGACAAAGGGAATAGCACCAAGTGCATGAGCAGATTTATCTGTTTCTGGGAGGAAGTGGTGAACCTCCACCACAAACTCAATTGACACTTGGGGCAAGCAAACATGGTTTGTTCAAGCTGCATAGCCCTGAATCAGACTGCGGGATCAACAAGGACTCAAATCTATTTTAAACTTCGTCACAACCAGCAAGCCTTCCATTGGCAGTTCGGTTGAGGTTTTGGGCAATCGCGCACAAGTCCAACCTCCTCCCACCAGGTCTGACTGTCCAAGCACCAAATGAAAAAACAAATGGATTAGTATTGAATCATGTCACAATGTCGCACAGCCAGTCGAATTAGCTGGATAATTAGTGGAAGCAAAGCATTTGCAAGCCTTGCCTACAATAGCGAGCAGCAATCCTCATCATGTTACAGTATTCCTAAAACAGAGTTGCACCTCCTAGAACAACATAGAAGCTTATGAATCTCCGCTGTCCCAATTACCAAACAGGCGTCAATGTTATGACAATCTAAGACATGTCAATGCTATGATTAGGCGGCGCTGCCTTCCTGGGGACTTCAATCTTATGACCCACCTGGGACGAGATAACTACTCTTCGCCGCTTTTCCCGTTCCCACCAGAAACGGGCCTTTTGCAGAAAGGAGAAAACAATTGAATCAGTACATGGTTGAGGTGTGTGAGGGGAAAAGGTTTGGTATGGGGCCTTGCGGCCTTAAGGAACCGGGTCAGCCTAGACTCTCAGTCTTGCCCTCAACGTGGCAAACCACCACAGTCGTTTCGACTGGCCATATAAATTCGGAGTCTTGTTTGATTGCTCCCACATTGTTGGCCACCAACCCCGCTCGAAGATCTTAACTGAGGACACTTGCATCTTGATGCCCGGATCTCTTGTTTTTGTTGAATAATGTATATGATGCCCCCATGCCCTCCCCTCTGGAAACTATACCGACAAAGTCAAGGTTACAAGTTACAAATGATAACCTAGCCAAACAGAGGCGATGCATAAAAAGGGGACAAGCCTCCACGTTGTCAACTGGTCAGAAACAGCCCAACTAGAATTCCGGTTTCTGGACCACCAGGGAGCGGGTCACCTTGTCCCCTGTTGCTTAGTGCATCCCCACGTCCCTCCCAATTTGATCACAGACTATTAGAATGTTGACTGAACTTTGCATGAAGCATTCACAACCATGCGTTGGATTTTGTCCAGTAGCTGTTTGGAGAATTTCACCATAAGTCCCTTTCCGTCCCGTTTCATATTTAGAAACGGAGACAAATCGATAAACAAAGTTGAAAAACATCAGTGCTCACAGCAACCTGTCCACTGGAAACATACTCAATTGTGGCTGCCAGCCAGCAGCTCCTGGTTAAGGATCAAAAACAAGAAAGAAAACAAACGGTCAAAAGAAAACAACATAGGTCCGTCTCAGCATGATGGCTGCAAGTGGTTGCTTCGCCGAAGTTTGCCGGCATACACCACCAATGGACCAAAAGAGAGGGTCCCCTATGTTCAATACTATTGTGCCATTTATGGGCATCGGACAGCTAGTGGTTCTGATTTTGGTGGGAAACCAGGTCAGAGTCAGTACCCCTCATGCCATCTGTTACAATAGTTGACACAGCCTACACCAAAAGCGCTCACGGACACCTTCGTCATGGGTGATTTTATCTTGACGCACAACGCCCTTGTCAGGCCGTGAATTAGTTTTCTGTGAGTTTCGCACCCAATCTGATTCGACTCAATGTGGGGCATCGAAACTAGGTCCTCAAGTAGAGAGGCTACAAACATTGTACCCTTTTTGCTGTCCCTCCCCTAAAAAAGGGTAAAAGGGCACTACTGGGGAATAGGTTCACCCACCTCCCGCGCGCCTCCACCGCCAGACCGAGCTCCTCCCGGAGCCACGCGCAGAGCACCGGCGTCAGCACCGGCGCCAAGTCGCCTTCGCCGTGGAGCCCGCGCCCGGTGATCAAGCACACGCCTCGCGGGCTTGTTGGGCCGGGCCCCGGGTGCTCTGTTCAGCTGAAAGGAAAAGTCGGCGTGTAAAATCCAACGGCTCTATGTCAAAAACCAGGAATCGACCTCTTGAAGTGACGGTTGGTATCTTACATTGACCTAATCGGGGGATCTGGATACGTAGCAAAATTGCCTGGGCATTGGGCATTGGATTAGATGACTGGTCCACCTGTGGGATGACGATTGTCCACGCAACAAATACCCCCGGTCAGCCTTTGCAGAAAACTGCTTTGTGGGCAACTCGTCGTGGTTTCATGTTAGATTGCCAGGGACTACGGGCCAATCAAGAAAAAAAGCAAAAAGACACAAGGTCGGCCAACTGGACAACTGAAGCAGATTTTGGCCTGGACGAACACTGCCTATGACAAAGCCCTAAGCGGCTGTGCAGCATCACCGTCATCACCATTGTCAGAATGATAGTATATAATTGTCGTATATATAATTATCATAGTAATAAAACTCATGAAACTACAACTAAACATAAGTCTAATAATGAAAGTAGTAATCCTAATACCAATACCAACAACAATAGTAATAATAATCATGACCAGCGTCGTGTTGCCTCGCTTTGATAACCCAAAAGGTCCAAGTGCTACGTTCCTGTGATTTTGGCTGGAAAGGAAATTGGTCAGGACACATTCCCCGAAAATAAAAAAACATCTTGAACCCTCAAACATGCTACTCACCCCATTCTTTATCTGGAGCCAGTTGCTCGGTGAAGGGAAGCCCTTTTGAGGCTTCGCCATGTTTTTGCTCAGTCCTCTTTATATTTTTTCCCAAACATCACCTCGAAAGGAGACTCAATTGCATTGGCCCCAAAAGTGATGCCTAGACTGGCTCATGGAAATGTAGCGCCCCTGTGGGTTCCGAACGAAGAACGAGGGCACTCTCCATCTCCGACTTCGCCTCTTGGCGTGGAGATGGCGGCTTCTAGCAGCTTCTCCAGCACCGCAAGCTTCGCCAAGTCCTAGGATCCGATCTACCGATGTGCACACCGCGAAACATCACGACGACAGAGTGGGAAGCTTAGCTCTCTTTCTAATATCTAACATCGAAACGGGTGTGTGTTTGCATTGACCATACTTGGAGTGTGTCGTTGAACAAGCATGTAAAACAGAACACGTGCGCCACTCGGACATCGTGACTCAAGGGGCATCATGTGTCAAAGCTGAGAACGCAGAACCAACCGGTCAACTTCTTCCTGGCAAAACTTGGTGCATCATCTGGGCACATTATTCTCCCACGGCACATGTCACCCGTGCCCAAAGTGGGCATCTTTGGGTTTGTCTTAAAATAGGAATCGGAATCCCGCATGTGGTTGGTATCCTTTTGGTTTCCCTCTAAACCGACCCCAAGAAGGGTACCCTAAAAAAACGGCACCGACCTTTGGACTCCCCATGACCGGACATCGTTCTTGCAGCACGGGGCGGGAGGCGGGCCCCACTCTGGAGCCAAGGTGCCTTTTTCAGGTGGCCAGAAGCCAACCATGCGGAGAAACCAGCCATTTCAACCCAAGCTTCAAACCAGCTCGCAGGAGTCACCGAAAAGAGCTTAGTTGAAATGGTTGACGTGACACTACGTGCGCATGACACTCAAGTGCAACGGTTTCCTTAGTCAGCTTGGCACGTCAGATGCAACGATCAATCAGCGAAAGCGGGTTTCAACAAGTATCTGCAGCCTCTAGAATAGGTTCGGTAATCTCTCCAGCTTCGCAAAGAGCAAATGTTCAGCATCAAACTGCTTGATGTTCTGCAGGCTTACAGGAGCAGTCAACAAAAAAGGATTGTTGATTCAAACAGCACTTCAACTCGGTTTGCGCCACATATCTAGTCCAGAAAAATACAACGAAGCGATTGCAAAGGGTCGAATGACATTTGCGTGAAAAGCAACAACCGATGCCACGCTTTGACTGTCCAGCGCGACTGTCGCTAAAGGACACGCTGAGAAAATCAGGGTTTGATGAGGCAAACTCAGAGCTTTCGCAAGGAAGCCACGGGCCCCGAAAGCCACCCCGCGAGAAAGTGGTGGTGACCTTGTCGAGGGTTCTGAAGGGTTGAGGGCCCTGGCTCTCCGTATGCCTTCCCGTCAAACACAGTTTGTGAACCTCCCAAATCGAAAAGATTGGTTCCTCTACGTGTTTCCCGTGCCACCCATTCAAGGCCATGGGGAGGTGGATGTAGCGGTCCATTGGGGCCATGCAAGTGGCACATTCACCGCAGATTTGGTTGCGCCATCATCCTCAATCCCAATTGAAATCCTCATCGCTGGGAAGCACTCATTTAACAAACGCGGCCGACTGAAGTCAGCATAAAATCATACAACAAAGCCAGGGAGGAAGCAAGTAGTCTACTTAAGTCGTCTACTTTTATCCTAGGATGACAAGCCTGCAGACTTTCAGAAGCACAAAATCAGGGGCAGCTGGCGCCTCAATGGAGTCCATACCTTCCTTCTGATTTCGTTTTCAACACGGGGGTTTCAACCGACAACTTATCCAAGCTGGCCAAATCGCTCGAAATTCCTGGACCGGAAATAAGGGAGCACTGGTACATGGGGTTTAACCATGCATGAGCTTGTTTTACCCCATTCGGCGAGCTCGCAAGCAACTGGGCATGATTTGTGTCCTCTAACGCCTCACAACTGAGTAACTGGGTGATTTGGTAGACACAGTTCCTCATTTGGTGGTTTGGTAGACACAATTCCCCACTTTGGCCACTCGTCATCACCTTTTCCCCCACACAAATTGTGCCAACCATAGCCAAGGCGTCCACCGGGAAGACGTGCAAATCCAGGTCGGCCGGGTTGGTGAAATCTAGGCACTCGGCATTGAGCCCGGCCTCCTGTGAAGGACGGCTGGCCCCCTACCCAGACCGGCCGAAACAAATCCGATGCGCAACACAATGAGCCTCTAGTATCGGAAATGTGAAGGAATGGCAAAACAGAGGACAACGATCCAACCTCATATTGTAGAAACAATCAAGCTTTCCTGGCGCCTCAAATGGTGCCTACTGGATGCTCGCCGGGTTCTGGGTCCCTTTCACCGACCTTGAAACATGACTGGGGCTAGAGGTTTCCTGATGCAAGGAGACGCTCTTTCAGAAGAAACACTTATATATCAACACAGTATCCAGATATGTTCCAATATGTATATTATGAATTGCGCATATGCATTAGTAGAATTCTGTATGAGCTATGGTCGTTACCATGCAGCTGTGGTTGAACTTTGGTGGCTCATGCCCATGTATAGACAAAATAGGATGCTTTGACCGTGCCACATGTGCAGAGACTGCAGCTGTACTTGCGCCATGTTTGTCGCGGGATCCTTCTTTTCAGAAAGGGCGAAAACTGGGAATTTGTGCGGTTGTCCAAAAGCGTGGGTGATTATAGGGCAACACGATCAACCGTTTGAAGATGACCCATTTCATGTGTCCATGGTTTCCTTCAGGGGATATCAGATGAGCACTTTTTCTATGTCGGCAAACGGGTGCATCCTCAAACGCGCCTGGTTTCCCCTTGGTCCTGTTGAGCGGCCCCAACAGGGTTCCAAAACAAAAAAGACATGGCCACCGCCCAGGGCTGTTCCTTTCCTGATTAAGTTCTTCGGATTCATCCGTGGGTGTCCCTCCCCCCCCCGGCCCTACAAGCACTCAAGAAGGGACCTATCAACTTGTAGAGACCCAGCCCAAAGACCCGTTTCGTAGAAAACAATTGCCCTTTTTGGGAGATGGACATGGCTTGACCATTGAGGGTCTCGACAAAATGGGCTTTTGAGAGTGCCTTCCTTTACCCAAATCCCTGATCCCTTTTCTTCAGGTGATCCTGCAACACACACATATATATATATACACAACACGGTTCCACAAAAATTGGGTTCCACAAAACATATACCTAGAGTTTCCGTATCCCTTCAAACATGTGTCAGGACCTCTTTGTTAAGGTCATGGAGACTCCATGTAATAAGGGCTTGCAGGTTTCTCAAGTTTCTTCCACAACTAGGCCTCACTATTTTCCCATGATGAACGTCACCACTAAGTTTCTGGATAAAATGGAAAACATGCAAATGTATTTCCAGAAAATTGACACTTCATTTAGGCACCATCAAAAATGCTGACCCCACCAGGCCGAAGAAAAGATCTGCTTGGACGGCGCCGATCGCCTTGGCCTCGCGGAAAAGGCAGAGCGCCTCCGCCAAGAGCCCATGGCTCATCAGCGAACTGCAGGCCGCGTTCAAGGCTACCTGAGGTCGAAACGTATCTGCGTGTAGAGGTTGTGTGTGTGTGTGTTTTTTCTCTTCTTTTTTAAATCAACCCGACCAACTAACCTACATACCAACCAACCCGGCCCTAGTGAAAAAAATGGGGGGAAAAAATAAACGCAACGGATCCACGTATCTGGGTATGGGTCGAAACTTAACCACCAGAAATTGGACCGCAGGTTGAATCGTCCATGTGTCCATTACCAAGGCAACCCATTTGCCTTTTATCGACCCACAGCCATCTGCCGAAATGGTAAAGAATCAGCTTGCCACTAATTTGTGCTTTGGATTGGTGGATTGGCAGTTTGGATTAGAATTTCCCATGTCCCCTCTACGAGAACCAGGGGTTTACATCCCCAAAACACTAATCCAAACCCTCAATAAACAGCTGGGTGTTGGGCAGGTTTTGGTTGCTCTTTGCTTTTTGTTCCAAGGTGCCATTTTGGGGAACGCACAAAGAGCAAAGAGGACACGTTTCAAAGGACAATCGCCTACCTGAAAAGGCTACCCTCAACAGAAACACACACGCTCAAATGGACTCCTGAACGCTGACAGCTTTCGGGCTGGTTCCTGAAAATCACACACACAAGAAAGAGTTCTCTTGAGTACCAACTAGGGGGCAGTGACTGAGAACACAAATCATCTAAAATAAGTTTGTGTTTTCTGAAGAATGGACCGAGCATGGCTGGGCTGGGGCTTCGCTTTCAAAAGCCAAAAGCGATCCCCAGTTTGAGACAAACCCATGTAAGGAATACTCGGGCGCTGCAATTTTTCAAGGTCCGCACATTGGACTGTTTGCTTCACGTAGACCCTTTGGGGGAACAAGCCATGTCCAAACCAATATGATCATCTGGACATTTTCTGGCGGAAAGATACACAACTAAGGTGTCGAACATAGAGATAGATGTTGGTTCACTCGCTCAGTCTGCAGAGCTATGCAGCAGTAGTCTTCCAAGATGATAGTAGCTTTGGCAAAGGAGAGTTTCCTCTTTGACAGGATTGCTTCTGTTTCTGCAAAGGTGTCTTTGCATGACATGTGAATTGGGTGCCATGGGGCAAACCCAGGGTCATGGGTCCAGTTTTTGTTCCTGCCACACACAAAAGACGCCCTGAATCAACAAATAACCCCCCGAAGTCCAACGGGCCGCTTGATCCAGGAAAGCCAACGGCAAGCTTCTGGGGCCTAGCGTTAAGGTTTCGCCAACAAGATCGGCTCAAGGCTTGCGGAAATGGAAGCCTTACAAATGGGAAATGGCACAGACTCTTTCCGGTCGTGTTCAGTCCAAAAGGGACTCCCACCGATTCATGGTTGGGGGGAGGGGACGTAAACAAATGCTGGGTGAAACGCAAGGTACAAGTGGTATTCACTTCTCATGAGCGTTCAAATGCACAAATCAGTATGTATGCAACCTCTCGTCAAGGTAAGCTGAAACGTCTCCCTGGATTGGTCTGGAGACTCCGAAGACTACACTCGGACTTCTTCAACCCGAGAAGTCCATTGGCTTCGGCCGTCTGAGTCTCCTTTCGCGAGACCCCCTTTGAGCTAGACAACTTATCATATTAGTTTTCAGGATGTGTTCTTTAAAACTTATCATGTTGTGAGTAGCAAGCATGGAACCCAAAGCAGCGGCCCTAAAGTACCAGCTGGATGGCATGGAATTTGCTACTCCTCCCGGTCTGCCGACCGTCGACTTAAGGCGAAAACAGAAGCATCCGAGGTGCTGCGTTGGGTGCGGGGCCCTGATCTTGCATCCGAGCCTCGGCCACGAATGCCCGGAGAGACCTCTGGATGGGCATGTTGTGGGGTCCATAATATGAAGAGTATGGAATGTCACAAATATCGCAACGTCATATGGCTGCACTCCTAGACATGTATGCATATGTAAATGTATGTAAATATATATATATATATATTGTGTAAACATAATCTTATGTCTGTATATACATATATACGCCCTTGAAAGTCCAACCTGTGGACACCTACATTGATACCTGTGCAAATGATATGTTTCACACATCCAAAGAAAGGACACCCTGAGAACCGTCAGAGCCACACACACACACACACATCGGCGCGCACGCGCACCAGAGCGACCTTTGCAAGCAACGGACACAATTCCGAATGTCTCCTCAAAATCACCTGGCAAAATTGGTCTGGCCACCAAAAACGACAGGCAACAAACACATTTAGAAGGCTCCTTGAGGCAGCTCGTCCTGCTCCCCGCTTGCTTGGGTTGCAAGCAATCCCCAAGTGAACCATAAGCCACCAGCGACTAATATGAGTATGCAAAACCCAGTAACAAGAGATCCAACACCCATGGTAAGTCATCAAATTTTCTGCTGTGAGATGTTTCTGGGTGCCACATGGGGGAGGAATTAACATGAAACGTGAAACGTGTTTAGCGTCCGGTTTTGGTTGAGCCGGTCCCCGACCTTCAACTACCTTCATTTAGAGATGTTTGGAGTGAGAAAACCATGGTGTTCAATTGGCACAGGTAGCATCACGCGGTGTTTGCCTTCCATGCCAAGGAAAGTATATTATGTGAAGCGAGCTAGACCTCCCTTTCGCGCAAACCAACCGTCAAACTTCCTTTTTCTGCAACCCGCAGTGTTGCCAGATTCGGCTGCGCCCCTGCATCCACTGGACACCAGTCATGGAACACCTGTGGCAAGGACTTGGTGAAACTATCTCAAAAAGGGCATGTGGGCCACGGTCAACACAATATGGGATAAAGAGTTGACTGGTGTTTGTGGGACATTTCGCGAGTTTCCCCATGTCCCTGCCAAATGGACCATGGACGGACATTTTGACCAAGCCTCACTCTGGCACAACTCATATATCAAACCAAGGACCCCTTCAAATCGTCCAAAAGTCTTCGCTTAAAAGCCCCAAGATTCAGCTTGGGCCGTGTCCGGTCAAAACTCGCGTCGCCCGAGCGGTTTCTCTTTGAACACCAAAAACGGACCCAACTGTTGGGCTCCCAAACGTGAAGGGGCTTCACTAGTACCCTGTGCCCCTCCTACACACACAACTCATTCTGAGGATCTTCACGTTGGGCAGCATTTCGCAATATGCTGGTGGTGTGGGGCGTCTTCAAGGGAAGCTCTCTCCGACAGGGCTTTCTTTAGAGAAACCTCAGGTCCGTGCTGCGCCTGAAGAGGCGACAACAACATTTTCTAGGTTTTGCGCCGACATGTTGTTTTGTGCAGAGAAAATGCACCTCACACCCTGCTTCTCGAGGAACAAACAACAAACCTTGTGGCTCAGGAAGCTGTAGCAACTTTACTGTGGCTTCCAGCGTGCCAAGGCCAAAACGATAGTTGTACCTGAGGTGTCTGATGCATGTCGACATGGGCGTCGACTCCAGGTAGGTTGTATTTGGGAGCAACATCACCTGGGGGTCCGGCCAGCACTGCGAGAACAGACTCCTCAGACAGCAAATGTCACTGCCGGACAATCTTAGCTGTTCTTAGAGAATTGGGAAGGACAATTGTTGGGTTCTTGTATGATTCCCCAGACAGCTGAAAGCTATATTGGGTCCTAGCTGCTAATAAAAGAGGGGAAAGCGATTTACGAGATTTGCAGTTTGGGGTGCTGTTGTAGGTGCTGTTTGGGGTGCTGTTGGAATACAGTATGGGTGCTGGTGTTGTTTTGGGGTGCCGTTTGCAGCGCTGTTTGAGGTGATGGTGACGATGCGCGCACATTTTTGCGAGATTAACGGCCGAGTGCTAGGGGGGCATGCAGTGACGGTGCGGGCGCATTGCTGCGAGATTGACGGCCGGGTGGTTTGGGGTGCTGTTCGGGGTGCTGCTCGGGTGACGGTGCGGGCACGTTTTTGCGAGATTCACAGTAGGGTGCTTGGGGCATGTAGTTTTCTGGTGCAGGTGCTGTTTGCTGTTTGGGGTGTTGTTTGAGGTGCCGCAGTTTTGCAAGATTGACGGCCGGGTGCTATTGGGGTGCTGTTTGGGTCGCTCTTCGAAGGGGCTGTTAGAGGTGCTGGTGTGCAATCATGGCCTGTTTGTCGTTGTCTGGGGTCTGTGCTGGCATAATTTGTTTTAGAAGAGTATGCCCTGCGACATGAGCACTTGAGTAGGATATGGCGAAAAAAAATGCACTACTACGTACAAATCCCTTTTGGACAGCTACGTTCCTTTTGAAAGGGGGTCTGTGCAAATCCATGTTTGTTAGTTAGTCTTTTGATGGTGTCAGCATGCGCCTTAGTGGCTCCAACTCCCTTGTGGCAAAGTATTCTTGCAGACCGCTAGCATCCCGGGTCTTGAGGAATATGCGCTAGATCCTTTTAGCCTCCTCTTGGCGAATGAGAAATCATAGACTGTTTGGCACCCAGCGGCTGAATGTCCGGGAAGACGTTGTTATTGGCAATTGGGACCGGTGCAACTGGACATGAGGTCTCAATTGGGCCCGCCCTCCCATATGTTTCTTGAAGGATGCCCGTCTGAATTCAACACGACCCTATTTTGGGGCACCTAAATATCTTGTCAATGGTTGAGTGAAAAGGCGAGAGGTCAAAATGTCAGAGTATGATGTGGCATACAAACGGCACAAGCCGGTGAGGGGGTGTTGTCTGCACACGATGAAAATTGCCCGCAATGGCAGTATGACAAATATGAAACGTTGCACCCTCATCTTCTTGGGCTGTTCCGCTTGAAGCCCGTTTCAATGCGCATCTAAAAGCTACAGGTTCTGGCGTCTGCAGTGGTCAGTGCAGTCTGGATGTGCCCTGTTAAGAAAACTGCCCGCGCGGACGTGATTGTTTTTGCAAAAGCTCTTGAAAGCTGCCTTGACACACCGCAGAATACTAGTAGAGAAAATTGAGCTGTTGCCAGCTGCTTCCGGTCGAACCATGTGACCCTAAACGGCCAACAAGCGGAGGACACAAAGTCGGCAAGCTCGTCGTGCCGCGTCTGCGCGGCATCTTGCAAGCGGAATCCTCCGAATGTTTGTGCCACCAGCACCGTTGCAAGCAGAAGTGGACTACAAGAGTACTTGTCAAATCTACGGCATCTATATGCCAACGCCACCCAAATCTAAAAGCGCGAGTTCTGCGTTGGCTGGCGTCACGAAGCAACAGCGTGCCACGAGCTGGCTGTGCAACTACTGACGCCCACGTGTGGGAGACAAACAGGAGATCATTCAACAGAAGCCAGGTCGGGTGCGATCTGTACGCGTGTGGCGCTCTGGTGCAGCAACTTGCGCGCCACTTCAGACAGAATTTCTTTTGTGAAATGAGAATGGCCAAATACCTTCCTTGACGGCCACTCCGAAGAGCGGCAAAGAACAGGGCGAGCGGAAGCTCGAGGAAAGAATGGCGAAGCAGGATGAACATGGTCAACAGCAGCAGGAAAAAGACGCAAGGAGGAAGCGCAAAACAAACAACAGCAAAGCGAGCAGCAAGAAGAACAAAGAGGAACAGCAACTTAACAAGCAGCGTGCGATGAACAACTGCGATGAAACCGTGCGAGGCAACCAGGGGAAGGAGCTCGGAGTAAAGGTGTTCGCGGGTGGTCTGCAATGGGCTGGGTGTGTGAGGTTCGACGTTGTGGAGAGCCAAAGTTCAGGCCGCGGGCAACTGCCGTGACGTTTGTCGGCCCGACCCCTGATTTCCCGTGACTACGCAAAAACCCTGAGATTGAACAAACTTCTGGCGCAGCAGGGCAAATGGCCCGCATGTCGCGTTGAAGCAACCGGCCCTGTCCTCCGGGCTTCCGCGCCCATTGGCCCGCGGCGTCGCAGGCACCTATGGCAAGGCTGAAGGGCTGCTGAGACCTGAGCCAGGCGCGCGCGATCGCGCCACAGGATGCCCCGCTGCAACGCGCCTGTGCATGCGCTGGCAGCTGATTCGCGGCAAAGTGCTGAGACCACCCAGCTGCCTCGTACAGCGCGTCGTTGTCGCTCGGCTTCCCGCTGGCCGTCGGAGCAATCGAGCCACGGTTGTGGCAAAGGCGCGTGACTTTATGTTTGGGTGAAGCGGCCACGGGTCGACTTGCGGAATTAATATGACGATGACGTCCGTGTTGGAACCTTTTCCTGGCCCAGTTTCAGGAGCACTAGCTTCCTACTTCAAGTGCGCAAATAGATGCAGTTTGTCGAGGCCCGCTGCTCCTTTCGTGGCACTTCCTCATTAACTGCAAACACCCTTCTTCTGCCCCGAAAAGACATGAACTACAACAGCTACTGAGAAGCAGTACTAGGGTTCGCCTTGTCATAGACCATCTAAGTGCGAATAATTACAAAATCCAAAATCCTAAGTAAGAATTGGGCAAGTTCAAGGCAACGCAGTGCTAGTCCTCACCGACCCCGACTCCAGTTGTATTAGGGAGACACTACTAAACAAACACCAATACCAGAGCAGGGCTCAAATCTCTAGTCTACTGTCCTGTGAAAGACATTTCAGCCTTGCAAAAGGGGACACTTTTTGGATGAGCACCAAAGAGGACCGAAAACACACATCCACCAAGCCATGAGCAGCAACCCCAGTTGTACTCATTTGCGCCAGCATCTGCGAAATATTGGAGACGCAATCTGCCAAGCTCTACAAAATGCAACGGTTACCAAACCTCATTTCTACTCAGTGACCTGCCCCTCAATTTGGCCGCAAGTGATGCTATCAATCGGAAAAACACCGTGATCAACATACAAGCCGCTTTCGCCTGCCTCAAGCCAACAGCTCAAAACGAAAGATGGCAGATTTAGCCGGACAGATTGCCCCTAGCTGTCCAGATCCAGGTTCTACGCCTTTGCTTCCTCGGCTTCACACTCCCTCCAAGTAACGCACAAACGACATCAAGGTTGGCGCATCTTGCCGAAGAACGACTTGTGTTCTGTCAACAGCGTATGGAATGTAAGCACAAAGCATCACCTCCAAGCTTAGGAAGCTGTTCCATTAAACAGAGTTTTTCTGCCGGTGCGAGTCATTTGGATGCTCGGAACTGCCCCCCCCCCCCCCAACCCGAAATCGAATACGACTAACGCTCTACACTGCGTCTGCAATTTGGATATTGCTATCCGCCGACATTGCTCGGCGTGTCGGACACCCAAGAGAGGATAGAGGATAACGCACCCCCCCCCGCCCGACGTCTGATACGTAAGGTAAAAGGGGGGAGGGTCCCAGGTACCGCGCGGTAATTTGATGACGTTCCACTAAACGTAGTCTTCGGGGAGCCGGTGTTGCCAAACAGGGGTCCCAGGCTCGAATCCGCCTGCCGGCTCTTTCTCCTTTTGCCAAAAATCTGGAAAAACTCTGTGTTTTTGGACGTCCTCTTTGCGAAAACGCTGGAAAAACAGTGTTGTTTAATGCTGGGAAGAACAGGGGAAATGCAAGGAAGTGCAGGGAAATGAGGGGAGGAAATAGGAAGTCGACATGACAGGAAAGCAACGGGAAATGAAAGGGAAACAAAGGGGAACTGAAAGGGACATGAAAGGGACAGAAATGAAAACAAGGGGAGTGCAGGGGGAATGAAAGGGAAACAAAGGACAAGGCAACTAATCGGCACGACGGGAGATGTAGGGAACTGACTCGCAACGAAAGAACGGGACATGCATGGAAAATGAAGCGGACATACCGAGAAAATTACAGGGACATGAAGGGGGAGTTGAAAGGAATGGAAGGGACATGACCAGGACATCATGGGAAACGTGAAAAGGACATGAAGGGGAAATCAAGGGGAAAGCCAGCAGTGAGATGACAGTTCAGGGTCATGAAGGGGCAGTGCCCGGACATCGAGGCAACTCAGGGGGGACGTGACGCTGCAATGCAGAGAGAGAGAGAGAGACAGGGAGAGAGCGAGAGAGAGACAGGGAGAGAGCGAGGAGAGAGCGGGAGAGAGAGAGAGAGAGAGACACAGAGAGAGAGAGAGAGACACAAAGACAGAGAGAGAGAGAGACAGAGAAAGAGCGAGAAAGAGAGAGAGAGAGAGAAAAAAAAAAGGTCCTCCAGTAGAGAGGTTAGAATACGGGTGCCCTTTTTCTGTAGAGGGGCGTGGACAGGAAGGAGACAGGGAGACAGAAAGAGACAGAGACACAGAGACAGAGAGAGAGATAGAGAGATAGAGAGAGACAGAGACAGGGAGATTGGAGAGAGAGAGGCTTGGGGGGATGGGGAGGATAGGGAGCAGAGGGAGGGAGAGAGGACGACAGAACACGCGGGGAGGAGACAAGGGAGAGAGGAAGAAGGAGCAGAGGGAGAGGACAATGTCGGCGGACTGAGCCGGAGGCTCTAAAGGTATGGTGTATTTGAATAGTGATGTTCTTGGCATTGTACCTGAGATCGCAATACGGAATTGTCACGTCAATTGAGGCTGAGAGCCTGCTGCCAGTTGCAGTGTGCTGTGAATGCAGGCTCTCTTGATTCCCTGCGCAATCTAAGCAAACCGCTTCTGGGCGCCAAATACAAAGTCTGGCAAAATAATTTACTTGTCGTCCGCTTGTTGGATTCCCTTTGGGTGCCTTGCGAGATACGGGCCATTCAGCACCCAGACTTGAAGATGAGCCCTTCTCCAAGTGCGACGATGTTGTTTTGTCCGCATCAACTGCATAAGGCAGTGGGCCTTCTCTAGAGATCACCCGATCCTTGTTTGCGCCAGCCCACAACGCATTCTGTCATTGTCTTTGTGTGGTCAAGCTGATCCAGCCGTACTCATGACACAACTTCATTCCTGATAAAATTAGCACCGAACGGAGTTCATCAAGGAGTGGGACCCGTCTGGAATATATCGACCAGTCTTAAACTTGGGATAGCTTGGGATACCCCAAAACGCTCTTTTTACAAGCTGCAGCTTTGAAGCATGCCATGATTCCAAGCGAGGCATGCATCCCAGCAATCCCAAACACAAACCGTAGTTCCGCCGCGGCGCGTCTCTTCAATGGGCACGCAGAAGCCTGGACGGCTCAAGTAGCACGGGCAGTTGTTCCATCAATGCCTGCAAGATATGGCAGCCTAAAGCAGACCTAGTCTTCTTGAAACGCAGGCAAGGGATGGCAGATCATCTTTGTCACAGAACTGGCTTCATCGCCGGAACTGCTATTTGCGTGTTTAGTCGATCCGAATGTACTCTCGAAACAAAAAAAATGAGCGAACGCTAGCAACACCCACCAAAGCAGAGAAATCATCTTTTGGGGGTCCGCCTGGTAACTCTGAAGGGCTTGAGGAATCGTAAGTTGGCGTTGTAAAACTGTCACTGGGCGTGTTCTAGGGCTGACTGGCGGCGTCGAGAGGGCGGCTCCTGACATCGGAGCACCCGACATTGATTTTTAGTTTTACCAACATGCTACAACAGGTTTCTATCGGGCTTGCAGAAGCAATCCCCTGGGACCGGGTTCTTCGCCAGACCTTGGGCATGCCCGCAGAAACAAACGTGGGTTAAATGCTGGTAGAATCTGACGCCAAGGTGGCCCATGGAAGGTTTGTGCGCACGGAGGTTGAGCTGTCGAATTGGATCTGGGAGTGATTTTGAAGGCATCAAGGATAGAACCCAAACCTAAGGCTCACACGTTTACTTTGCAAACACGATTCCTTATTCTTTGCAACCACCATTTGCGAAGCTTTCGCATGTGACAAGCTGTCCATTGCAAGGTGCCTATGGTGTCCTTACAATGAGCGAACATAAATGACACCTGCGAACCTACCAGAAGATATAGGTGCTGCCGCGCACTGCTCGAAATGGAACTTTCAGGCAACCGGTAAGCTGCACAGCATCCTGCAATCGATTAGGATAACCATCAGTTTGTCTTTTGGTCAAACAAACGACTAGCTCAGAACCAATCACACATGCACACATACACACGCGTGACTCGTTGGACAACAAGTTGGTTGCCGACGTTCCGCGGTTCCGCGCCTGCCAGAACATCCAGAAGCTGCAAAGCGAGAGCCCAAAGGCCACCCTCCTGAGAGCACAAATGGAAGTAACACACCAACGAATCAATGGATTGCCTGTGCCAACCTAGCCAAGACCACGTGGATTAGATGCATGTACATGCGTGCGCATGTAGTTTACAGATGTTGTATGTCTCATGCGCATCTTCGGTAGCATTGAATGTCGTATGGCAGTCAAAACACTGTATCAGCTTTAAGAGGTCAACTGGCACCAAGTGATAAACTCGAGTTCGACATGCTTTAAACCAGCCAAACTAACAATCCGGTCGGAAAAACAACATGCTCGATACAAGGCCCACATTTCGGCAGGGTAGAATTCCATGCTTCTCCTAGAGCTGTCCCCAGCCTCGCTTCACTTTGCGGTTTTAAGTGCCCTGGCAAAAAACACGTACCAGTGGTTGAAGCTGCGCGCAAGCCAGAAAATCGCTCTGGCAAACAGGCCCTTCAAGCTTCGCGTTCTTTTGGCCAAAACCCTTGCAATTGAAAACCAATTGGTGAACTTTGAGTGAAACGAGAAACGGTGGAGGGATTTGTTCAAGGCGCAAAGTCTGGCAAGGCGTGTTCTCCGATATACAAGAAACACCACAGAGTGATCAACCACCGTCCTGGTGAGCAAACAAAAGGCATTCCTATTGTAGGAAACAACCCCTGATCACCGCAATCATTTAGCCATGGTGAGTTCTGAGTCCTTCATTGGGTCGAGGACTGCCCCCCCTTTGCAATTTGCACCGAGCTGCGCTGTCTTGAAGGGGCACTATCTTTTTGTGACTCGGCAGAAATCGCGTAAATCTTGGAGAGCGGTAACTGGAACGAGCCACATGTCCCCGCCAATCAGAAAACTCGACAGTGATTCACCCAGCCCCAGAAGCGAAGTTGTCTTAAAGGGGCTGGGCAGCGATGGAAAAACGTAAGCAACACATAAGGTCAAACGCAACTTGCTAGCCATCGAGACAAAAAACATGTGTTTGTTTCTTTGCTCTTTTTACAGGGACACCCACCCGCAAAAATGGAAACAAACATCTTGCAACACTGGACAACCAGAATGCAAGCTGCAAAGCTTGTGGCACATTTCCCCGCCTTGCAAGCAGCCATCATCCCGACAATAGCTTGCTGATCGGGCCTCACGTGCTGTGCAAGCACTCAGGGCGAACCACCATAAGAAGGACGCGCAGTTGTAAAATGATGCCCAGGTGATGTCTCAAGACATTTCAGTTCAAATCACCAAGGACAAAGGCGAGTACGGATGCAAATATATGTATATATAAATATATATATATTTTTATATGTATACAATGTCAGATCTGTATGCATACATATATATATATATATATCTAGCCTATATGTATACATATGTATGTGCCTCTTTGTCCTTCCCAACCCATGTTGCGCGACCGCAGCCCATGCTCCAGCTGCCTCCAGCTGCCTCCAGCCCCTCTGAAGCAGGTCCCTGAGGCCAGATCCTTCCGCGGCCCAAACCTACGCCTAGCCTCGAGGCATTTCCACACACCGGTCATATTCCCCTAGAAACCAGGTCAAGTTCCCTGGTCAAGTCCCCCCAGAAACTGGTCAAATTCCTTCTAGAAAGCGGGGGGGTGAAATTCCTGACTAGCAACCCAGAAACTGTCAAAACCCGGGAAACCGGTCAGCCGGTCAAAACCCCCCTAGAATGCAGGCCCTAAGGCTTCGCAGTCCATTGCATTTCGGTGCCGACTCACTCATTCAAACAAACACAACACTTCACACACTTCAAGGCAAACCACCAAGCCAGCCAAAAGCCTGCTGGCCGAGGCGGCAACACGAAGCGTTTGCAATTACATTGGGAACCCTGACAGTTGAACAGTAGGGTGTGCCCCCTTGATTTGGCCGGTTCCCCTGTTCTGAGACAACCCCGCAATATGGAATTGACAGGCGGGGCCTACCCTTGAATTTCATACCCCGCCCAACAAGGATATCCTTACACCTGTACGATCGGACCTAAATCACGCGATCTTGGCGGTATGTGGCGGCCAAGCAAAGGCAATCCAATCGTCGTGACATCCATTGTGATTTATTAGCAGTACATCCAATTTTCTTAGGTTTGATCACAGCCTCTCCAACAAAACTCACCACATCTCCGGGGTGTTGCCCCTTTCGGACAAAGAACAAGCCCTGCAAAGACTGCTGGGTCACAATCGGAGTCTGCACATTGGGGACCCATATTTGGCTTGTGTTCAAAGGGGGAAAACACAGAAACACGCTCCGCAGGGATCTACAGTAACCCTTTTTACGAAGCAAGGCCCCGCCAGAAACAAAGGACTTGTCTAATTCGTCCCTTTCATGTTTTTCACCCGGTGAAAAAGGGTGAGTCCAGTTTTGGGAGCAAATTGGACAATATATATATGGGCAAACAAACAGCATTAATTCACACAATCAATTCCCAGAAAACCTTTCCATGGGGGTGCAAACTCCCAGAATGTGAGGTCGTCAATGATGTTCCCGTTTCAAGGTATCAGTGGTTTGGTTTGGTTGTCCAACTCCGCTCCTGAGAGCTTCTACTCGCCCGAAACCAGAAATCGCAATCATGTTGATACTGCTGGGAAACAGCCGTCCATTCACAGAGGGCTTCGGAAACTTGATAGACATTCGATACATGTATACGTGCATATACGTGTGTATATATATATATATATATCATATATATATATATATATCATATATATATATATATATCATATATACACACATATGTACTTTTTGCAAACCATGACCTCTGGGGTAAGCTTGGACTTGGCGAGCCCGGTTTCATGGGATGGGCGGGTTTGGGTCTGATCGCGCGGAATTGGCTGGTTGCTCGTAGCCCTGGGCTCTCGTGCGCCAAGCCCCCGTCCAACATTTCTTGCAGCCTCGGAAAACAGCAACACGGGTGAAGCATACAATTACCAATACGAGGCTTGCTTGTGGTGTTGAATGAAGCCTTCATCATGGGTAGGACGCACACAGCCACCTTTGTTAAATCGCCACAAGCTTGGCCAGAACACACGCCCTGGCTGACACAGGCGTTGATTTCCTGAGTGGATTGGCCCGAACAAAAATCCAAACTGGTTCTCGACAAGATTCAAGACCAACTGAGAACACTGTATATGTATATATATATATATATAGATTTATACGTGTAGGTGCATGAGCACAAGAAGGTCTGTATAACTTTATCTGTGTGTCTAGATGTATACACGCTATATGCACATGTATACATATAAGTATGTTAATTACATACATTTTCCGTTCACATCATGGAAGCTTTGTCAAAGGCAGCCTGGGTGCAACTGCTGGCTCTGCTAACTGTCACTGCTATGCTACGCGCCTGCCAGCCCTGCCCAACAAATTTTGGCATGTGTTCACGACTTTGACCAGGGAGGAAACGAAAGGCCCCCAGCCAACAGGAAAAACTCGGACGAAGCCTTCTTGGATTTGGAAGGACTCCGACAACGTTTCTGGGGGCCGCTTTTTGCACCCCATCACGAAGTCAACTCCTACATGGTTGAAGAAAATGACCCCAGTTTCCTGTTATAACTCCCAGCCACAGTCAAAACAAATACCGCAGAATAAGGGCACCCCTCTTTCCATTATTTACCCAGTGGACCCATTTACCTGTATAGTAGGTAACCAAGAGAACCACCCTTTGATATGCAAAAGGAAAATAGCTGGTTACCTAGTATGAGGGCAACTGGGATCCACTGGCTGAGTTTAAGGAACATCCAACTCCCAGTACACGAACAAGGGCTCTGGAGGATGCAGACAAGTAGCTGTTTACTTGTGACGCAGCTTGACTTCCCGTCAAGACTTCTGCTCAGATGGGGGAAGTTGCTAGGGTGATTCAACATGGGTGACTTGGGTATGTCTAAAGATGTAGGGGAGGGGGACTCCTCCACATCCTATACAACCCACCAAAAACACTTGGCGTGACTCCTGCAAGAGCCTTGGACTGGTGAGTCAGCAATCCATCTAGCAATAACGCGTTAAGACCCAACAAGAAAGACTAAGCACGTGGATAGTCACAAAACACACTACTCTAATGGCCCACACAAACCGAAAAGACATACTAAAACTGTGATGCAGTCTGTGATCTGTTCGCTACGTAGCAATGATGATCCCCTTGCCGCAAAGAAAACACACGAACAGAACTAATCAAACACTACATAATTACAAGCACTACTAAATCAAATAACCACCTAAATCCCGTCTCAGCACGGGGCTTGAGCAGTGCCGAACAAAGAGGAACATAATTTGTGGCGGTGCTGGATCGCTTAAGGCAGATTGATCGCTGGGAGGGGGCGGTTTGACTAATCAGAGTTCCAATATGGACACGCTCCCTCGCTGGGCTAGAAGGTGACTGTTTGCTGTACCCCTCCCACGCTTAGCGCAGGCTGAGCGGCAATTGAGATGCCCGGGTTGACCCTGCTGCCGCCTTGCACGAGCCAACTTCTCGAAATAATCTTTGGTAAATATTGGGACACGCTGGCTTCGCTGAAATCAGAACGCGCTGCATCAGGCACTCAGGGCAAACGCACGAATGCCTTTCACGTTGTGAGCAACATTGCCTCTTTCCCCACATTCTCGAACACGCTCTTGGTTCTCCGTGTCTGCATGTACAGTCTTCTGTGTCTCAAGCCCTAAGTGGCAAAAAGGGGCTTTTGATCGAATTCAGCATGTCCCGGGTTCGTATCGTCTACGTTGAAAAGCGAGCCTGACGTCAGATTTCTTAGGGTTTCTGTGCTAGCACTGGAGGGTGTTCCCGTTTCAACGGCGGCACTTTCGCAGGCAACAACTTCCACCCAGGCCCCAAGGATCCCTTGCTTTGCCCTTGTAGGAATCTCCTTTGAAAAAATATGCCTTGGGATCCATGTTTATTTGCAGGGGAGTAAGTGCTAAGCAAACCGACGCCACGTTTTTGGTCCCCAGTTTAAAGAAAAAACTCATTTGGGTAGGTTTCACAACGGGAAACAAGCCAACAACCATGCCAGTCCGGCTTCATGATTTCATGTTTCTGGATGGAAGGGAAACCAAATAAAAATTGGCCAAAGTTCGATTCATGGAACCCTCTGGTTAAAACGATTCCCCCCCACTACCCGTATGCTACTTGTAATTTTTACCGAAACTTGAAATTCATTGAGAAAACAAATACGAGTTCGCTAGGAAATGAACCCTTTTTATTGGTAAGGTCGCAAAACCCTTTGGCAGCCACACTTTGCACAGATCTCCATTTAATAGAAACCCTAGACAACTGCTTGTTTCGCAGGTGGACGCATACAACCATGGACCTCCAAGGGGGGCTCTGGGTGGGCTATCACTACACAAGACCTGATGGGCTGGCTACGATCTCAGGGGCCAGAGAAAACTTACAGGACCCATTTTTTGGCCCCAGTTAATAACTGAGCCCATAAAAGAAAAGGTAAAATGCAGGTGACCACAGGTTTCAGGATGGAAAAAAAGGAGGAGCCCTGGGGCCCGGTCGCACGCGCTTACCGCCAGGCTGTGGGCGATCATGCTGGGCCTTACGCGAAACTGAATGGGGAGGAGGGGATCTGTTCCTGCTATAATTAATACTTACAGACAGTTTGCTGCTTTTGACTTTTGCAAATAATGCGTATGTATGTGTATATACATTATATATATATATATTATATGTATGAGCCAAAATTACTTGTTGGGGGTGTATTCATCCCGACATTAGGGCGTAGAGTATTGTTGTTCATGGTTTGTTCTCAGGTTTTGGGGTATCGTGTTTTGGATATTCCATATCATTTTTGAGAACAAAAGCAACACGTGCATTGGATGTACACACTGCTACATATATATATATACACATACGTATACATAAATGAGTGTATACGTAGGATGCACAATGCCAGGGTGAGACAGAAAGCCACTTCGAAAGGCGGCCTCTTGGAATCCGTCCATGAGATGACCACTGGCTGTCGGGTGTTGGACGTTGATTGTGGCGCAGCCAGCCTAAACTTGCGCATTTCAGGCTTACGAGGCGGGCGACTGTCGATGTATTGCTGGACCGCGAACGGGTCGCATAGACACCTCGCCAAATGATGCCAAATGCACGCGATTGGCCTTGCAAATGAATTATCTTAACCCAAACTAAGGCAAGCATCCCTAACTATTGAGCCCACGACATGGCCAAACTGCCGTTTTAGAAAAACATGAAGGGTATCAAAACACACTGCCATTCAGATGGGACCTGATACCTCCCTAAAAACCTGCAAAGGGTAAGCAGAAGAGTCCTCAGGAAGGTCACCCATCCGTTAAGACCTGATTTTGACAAGGAAATGCGACTGTCCGTGATGTCATCAGAGTTGTAGTCATTGACAGGTTTTTTCTGTAATGCCACTGGACGAGCTGACAAATAGTGTATGCAAGCTAACCAAACGGCACCAAACACAAGCACGCGATAACTCTTTCATCCGAGCAGTGTGTTGGTGCCAGGGACTCATCTTCCCCTGTCAGATGTCAAAGGCTGGGTGGGCCCCATGGGCCACCCAACTCACAATCTCAAAAACTGAAGAACGGGTGTGCAGACTGATAGCGCCCGCCCCTGAGCCGGGGCCCGTGGCACCCAGGCGACAGGGGGGTCTGCCACCAGGGGAAGTGAGTCACCCACCGGCTCCGGTCACGGGAGCATGGGTGGGCCCACGCTAAGATCAAATGCATCTCCATTCAGGAGATGCGGGAGAAAAACGAACTCCTCGCAGAGTTCCTGCTTGGGGACCCTGTGCAAAGGGTCGAACCCAGAGAAATCTGGGTGTGTCAGCTCATCAGCCCATTGATTGAATTCTCGGGGCACGTGGTTGGCCGCCAGCGAGCAGCCATGGGTGTGGAGCAGGAAGACCAGCTCCATCAGGATCGCCGCCGTGTAGGGCTTCTTGGATCCAAGGTTGAGCATCGCCATGACGTTGCCCTGATTGTCACTGCCCACCGGGAGTCGGACCCGGGAGGACAGAGGGCCTTGGTGCGTGAGGATCATGTTACAGAGGAAGAGCGTGCCCAGCATCTCCAGAGCCGCAATCCTCCGCTTGGGATCCCCATTCTTGAATGCCCAAGGGTACTCCTCCACGTGGATCTGCTCGTGGAACCAGCACACCTCCTTCTTTTCCGGCTCCACTTTGTTGGAGCACCAACCTCCCACAAATGCCAGTCCTTCGTCCGAGGCGCTAGCATCGCTGCAACCCCACCAAGAGGTCTTCGGCAAGTAAGGGGAGTACTGGACGAAGGGCGTGTTGAAGAGGAACCGCAGCATGAACGCCAGCATCCTGACCACCTTGGGGGGTTTCCCCACCGTGGTGGTGGCCATCTTCCAGGCCCAAAGTGGCTGGAGCATCGACTTCGCCAGCGGACATGCAGCAGTCGCCCATTGGATGCGACCCAGGGCCTTCTCGATGTCCTTTGAGTGCATCGCCTGCCCTTCCACCATGGTCTGCAAAACCTCCATAACCAGGATGTGTTTGTTGGCGGCCATGAGAACCTGCGGGATGTTCGGGTGGACCACGAAACCCAGCCACGTGTTAACCTCCGCCAAATGCGTCTTCTTCCAGCTAAGCGGGGTGCCCAAGGCCAGGAGTGTTGCCAGCAGCGCCACCGCCAAGTTTACTGCCCCTTCGCTTCGAAGCAGCCACAGGAAGTCATCGACAAAGACGAAGTTCCAATCCACTTGAGGGAAGAGTGCGTAGAGGACCCTGAGTAGAAGGGCTGCCGGGCACTGGCCATGCCATATGTGCCTACCTTGTTCACCCACCATTCTTCCCCCAGTGAGGCCACCTGGAACCGCCAGTCCTTCCTGAGGACCTTCACTCTCCGGTGGGCCTTGGTGACGTCCGCCTTGAGCAGCACCCACCTGGTGCCCGGCTCCGGCCATAGCCAGCCCCCAGGTGGAGGTTTGACGACCCCCCTCTCGGGGCCAGGGGCACCCTGAGAGGGGGGTCCCTCCGCAGCTGCCGCATGTAGCCAATGAAGAGCTTGTACCCCATCCAGCACCGTCGGAGCCGTCGTCCTTTCCACCGTCTGGTTCCTGATGGTGTCATTGGCCCCGCCCACCGAGCCATCGTAGATGGTGCGGATCTTGTCCCCCTCGTCAATGCCCGCTAGGGGGCCGGGACAAAGGTCCTCGATTTCGCAGCCACAGTCCACCTTAGTGAAGGGGCCCTCTACCATGCCCATGGGGACCTCCTCCAGGAATGTGCCCCGGATGAGCTCGCTGAAGTGATCCGCCGAGGGGTAGTTACCCCTGCCCGTTGGGTGAGGGAGTTCCTGGAACTCCGGCTCCTCCCCTTTCAGCTCCTTCTTGAGTGGCCAGACGCCAGGCGAGGTCAGGGGTGGGTCCGTGAGCAAGAAGGACCTTACCCAGACCTCATCTCTTACTACCCTCCCCGCGCCACACCAGCATATAATCAAACCACTCGCCAAAATCTATATAAAATGCTTCAAGTTATTCATTTTAAAGAATAACTTAAACCATTTCAATCAACCTCGCAACATTTATTGATATGTCCTTCACTTGATACATGGTCGCACCAAGAATAATAAATTTCTTTCTTCTTACATTTCAAACATCTAAACCACAACACGCCATTTACAATTTCTTTACTATCCGGTCGTTCCAATTTTTCACCGTTCAAACTTTTCTGTAAAAAATATTGATGGTTTAAAGATTTCTCGTGTTGAGACTTCTTACCTTTTTTAACTTCATAATCGCACAATTCGCAATAGTGAACCTGTTGCCGGTTTGCTTGTATTGTTGCTTTCCCTGCTTCGCTCTCTCTGTATTTCCTGTTCTTTTCCTGTACTCTGTCAGGGTGGTTCTCTCTGTATCTGCGTTGCTTCTCCCATACTTTTTCAGGATTGTTAATTCTCCATTGTCTTTTGGTTTCCTCTCTCTTCAATCTGTTTTGTTCTCGGCAGTAATCACAAAGTTTAATCATATTCTTAAACAAATCAGAAGAATATGTAGTATCACATTGCTTACATTTTTTCATATCGTCTTTCATCTCCTACCATAGTAAAAGAACATTTCTTTAAATGGTTTTAGGCATAATAAATATCAAGGTCTGGGTAAGCCCCCTGTCCCGAAAAAAACCACCAAACAACAAACCAAACAAAAAACCCAACAAGGAACATAACAAAGTCCAAAATATCAACATGTTTAAGATAATAACAAATTATCTTAACAATGCTGTTATTTAAACATCTTCTTTAATGATTAGTCTGAAACCAAATGATTGTATGCCAAAACAGTAAAAACACTGGTGCAAATTTTGAATGCCGTTCTTCAAATGTTTGACTGCTTCACTCAACACTTTGTTAATATTGTTTTCATTTATGTTTATGTAATTATCTTCGTTCATTTCATAAGGACAGAAACTTATGCTTAAACTTGAAAACATGCCTTCTTTATATTCTCGCTCACTATGCCTTACTCTTATGTCTAAAAACACATCTAATTTGACTTGAAAATCAGTATTATCTTCTACGTCTTCATAGATTAAACTTAATAACTCATCTTTTTGCTTGTTGATAATACTTTCAATGCTGTCCATTCCAAATGGCACTCTTCTTTCAATATCATATTCCCTTTTAACTTGTTTCTGTGTTCCTCCATTTATTAGTTTTAGGTATTTGTATATTGTTTGTGGTTCAGTTGTTTTAATTTTGTAATTGGTCTGTATTCTCTTCAATGCTTCGTTATGACAACTTTTTATCTTTATATACTCAGGTTTGCCAAATTTAAAGGAATTAATATTGCTCAATATTTCAACAGGTAATTTATTAATTTCCATTCTCACTAATATATATAGGTATTATTTCTTTAAACCTTTTTAGTCTAAAACTATAATTTCAACATTTCATGTCGCAATAGAGGTTTGGGAAAATCACTAACATGATAATATTTCTGCCCCAATTTAGTTTCTATTTTGGTTATTGTATGGACTGTCCTTAACCAATGACTGGTTCTCTCTTTCTCGCTAATCGCTTTCTTTCTCATTATCTTGACTTTGTCCCCTACATCTAAATCAGGATACACACGGGTTTTTCTGGCATTCATTGATATATTCAGTTTCACTTCAAACTCATTATTTTTCTTCCTTGCTTCTAATGGTGTCATTTTCGTAACGGAACTTACTAATTTATTATTATATGTCAATAATATTTCTAAATTGTAATCTATCCATTGTATATTGTTTTTACCTTTCTTTTCATCCGCATCAACTCTTTTAAAAAGCATATCTTTGTAGGTTCTAATAAATCTTTCTCCAAAAGCAGGGTGGCCTCTCGTGGTGTGTAATTCAATTTTTTCCTCATCAAGATAATCTGTAATGGTAGAACTAAACAAACTGCCTTCTTCGTCGCTGTATATCATTTTGGGTTTTCCGCCCATTTTCTTAATGCCTTCCATTATTCCTGCTAATACGTCTGGCGGTTGCTTACTTGCAATAGGTATTACAGTAGCATATTTACTAAATATATCAATTAATATTAATCCAATTCTAAACT